TAGCAGGCGGGCAGGGAGGAGCAGGAGCAGACTGCCCGGTTGGGTCCTGGCATCTTCCTCCTGTAGGTGCAATCACACGTCTTGCAGAGTGCATTGCCCTGCACGCCCTTGGTTCCCACGGCGTATGGTGTGCCGGCATAGCGACAGAAGGAGCCTCCTGAGATAGTGGGAGGAGGGGGAAGCGGAGGGGGAGAGGAAAGAGGGGGAGGGAGGAGGGAGGGTGGAGAGGAGGCAAGGGAGTGAGACGACTTGCAGATAGCATTGCGCTTCACACCCTTGGTGCGTTCTGAGTGGACTCAGAGCAGACTGCCCGGTTGGGGCCGGGCATGTTCCTCCTGTAGGAGCAGTCACACGTCTTGCACAGCGCGTTGCCCTGCACGCCCTTGGTGCCCACGGCATACGGTGTACCAGCATAGCGACAAAAGGAACCCCCTGGTGGTAGGAGCGGAACAGGAGGTGGTGGGAGAGGTGAAGAGAGAGTGAGCATTTTCATCCGGTAGGTGTAGTCACACGTCTTGCAGAGCGCGTTGCCCTCTATGCCCTTAGCTCCCACAGCGTATGGCGTGTTCGCATAGCGACAGAAGGAGCCTCCTGGTGTGTGGTGCGAAAGGGGGAGGGGATTGGAAGACAAGAGATTGAGAATTGCCCTGCTGAGAGAGAGGGCTAGCGGGGGAGGCGCGTACTGGTGTAGGTGGAGTTGCAGCGGCCGACGTACTACGTTTCTAACGGCGCGCAGGCAAGGGACGGCGGAGAGCAAGAGGGGGAAAGGGGAGGGCGGGTGGGGGGAAGAGGAGGGCGGCGCGTACTGGTGTAGGTGGAGTTGCAGCGACCGACGTACTTGGCTTCTAAAGGCGGGGGGACGGCGGAGAGGAAGCGGCGGACAGGGAAGGCATAATGGTGGGGGAAGGGCGAGGGCGGCGCGTACTGGTGTAGGTGGAGTTGCAGCGGCCGACGTACTTGGCTTGCGGCGCCGTCGGCACCTGAGTCACCACGCAGCTGCAAGGAGACGGGAGGGGGGAATGCGCGGAGAGTGACGGGGAAAGAGGAGCAACAGGGAATCAAGCAAGGAGTGAGCAAGCGCGCCGAGTCACAAGTGCTCGCTTGAGGCGCTGTCGGCACCTGAGTCACCACGCAACTGCGGGAGAGAGGAGTAAGTGAAGTGTGAGAGACGGGGGCGGGAGAAGAAACAGGGGAGTGAGTAAGCGCGCCGAGTCACTCGCGCCGCACTTTGCGTGCTGACGGCACCTGAGTCACCACGCAGCTGCGGGGAGACGCGCGGGGACGAACGGGGAGAGACGGGCGGGAAGACAAGCAGGGAGTGAGCAAGCGCGCGGAGTCACTAGCGTCCCTACCCCCGAGTTACTTGCACGCGGAATAAACGCGCGGAAGCGCTCGCGCGACGGAGAAGCAGAGCGGAACGAAGGGGGACGAAGCGGAAGGAAGTGAGACGGAGAACGACGGCGCGACGGAGCTGAACGGAGCGACGACCCGTCTGCGCTGATTGCGGCAGACGGGAACGGAACGGGGTAAAGCAGACAGCCGACTTTTAAGGCGCCTCAAAAGGTCGTCTCTTATCCCGCATTTTCGAGGCGCCTCGAAAAACGTAGCGACGACCCGTCTGCGCTGATTGCGGCAGACGGGAAGGGAACGGGGTAGAGCCGACAGCCGACCCCCTTGCGCCCTGACACGCGCGCGCATTCACTTGCGCCCAGTCGTGGGCGCGCATTCATTTGCGCCCAGTCGTGGGCGCGCATTCATTTGCGCCCAGTCGCGGGCGCGCATTCACTTGCGCCCAGTCCCGGGCGCGCATTTGCGCCCAGTCGCGGGTGCGCATTCGCTTGCGCCTAGTCGCGGGCGCGGATTCACTTGCGCCCAGTCAAGCGCGCGCACTCACTTGCGCTTGTTTCCGCGGCAGAAGGGGTAAACGGGCCGCCGCTCGCTGTCCAGGTAACACGTGGCCCCGTCTGGGAGCGATGCGGACCCCGATGACGCGATGCTGTGGGCACCTGGGGATGAGCGAGGAGTGGGCGCAATGGGGGAGAAATGAGAGGTTAGGAGAAGGGAAAAAAGGGGGGAAGTCTGAGTCGACTCAAGAGGACCTGGACGAGGCGATGCCGTGGGCACCCAGACGGACGGAAGCGGGGGGAAAGGGGGGAAACTTCTGAGCGCGATGGGCAGCAGCATCAACTCGAAAGGTTCCAACGAGGCACATATAAGGTTGGAATGCGCCGGAGGGGCGCATTCGAGGGAGCGAGTGAGCGGGGGAGGCACACCCGAGGGAGCGAGGGAGCGGGGGAGGCGCACACCCGAGGGGGCGGGAATACGCGCACCTGAACGAGCAGGGGATGCGCGCACATGAACGAGCAGGGGATGCGCGCACCTGAACGAGCAGGGGATGCGCGCACCTGAACGAGCAGGGGATGCGCGCACCTGAACGAGCAGGGGATGCGCGCACCTGAGAAAGCGGCGAGGAGGACTAGAACGGGTAGTAGCAGCCGGCGGGTCATGGTTGCTGCTGGAGTAAGCCGCGCGATGGAAGCTGGTCGCGGGGCGGCCGCACCTGAACGAGCGGGGGATAAGCGCACCTGACCGAGGCGCACCTGAGAAGGCGGCGAGGAGGACTAGAACGGGTAGTAGCAGCCGGCGAGTCATGGCTGCGGTGGGAGGAAGCCGCCCGGTGGGAACTGGTCTCGGGGCGCGAGACGAGGCGCGAGGCGGCCTTGCGAGGCGATGGCACCCAGCGGGTGCTTGCTGTGGTCTATGCTGGCACGACAGACGAGCTACTTTTAATCGAAAGCTGCACCTAACGTGAAATGTGCTTCTGAAGTGGAAGCTGTTTCGTAAATCCAGAAGCTACTTTTGCTCAACATTTAGTGGGGAGAAATGATCGCGGCGTGCTTATGCTGGACTTCGAAACGCCAGTGATGGACGGGTCGCATGAATCAGGGTTTCGCGAATGTCGGACGGAATCTATCACACAACGGGGGTTGATGGCTTGAAGCAAACTGGAAGGGATTGGAGTGGAAGAGAGACCTTGTCGCGGGGTTGGGTTGTTGTTGGTTGGGTTTCTGCAGGGATGGGGTGGTTGCACAGATGGGAGAGTAAGGCGCAAATCGACGACAGGAAGCAACGAAATGTGGGCGCAACGCGGCTAGGCTGAATGGTGTGGATGACGGCGAGATGCGAGAAAAGGCAGGGGAAGGTGGAACTGTACTCGAGTTGATTGCATGTTTGGGCGTCGCGTAGAAGGGATGGTTGGTTGGGCTGGTCATGAAGAGGGGCAGCCGAAATGTCCGACGGCTGGGATGGAAAGCGAAGGAAGATGGGAAACACCCGTTAGGCGAGAAGAAACGGCGGCGACAAACACGGTCCGAATGCGGAAAGTTATTCGTGTACAGTATACACTTTCAAAGAAGCCCGTTGGAAGAGAAATGCAGCCCCAGCAATTTGTGGTTCGTGACGTTCTCATGTCCGGTCCGGTCTGGTCCATTTGTCGAATTGAAAAAAAAAAATCGGGACTAGCGAGCGACGGCGAATTTTGTTCGCAATGAGGTAGTTGGGTGGGTGGGTAGTGGTGCTTCAACGTCTATCATGATTCATGAAATTCGCGCCTGCGAAGTGATTGATTGAAAATGTCGCACAAGCGATTCGGCATGAAAATGTTTCCGCCGTCGGCTCAACTAGGACAACCGTGAGTGTAAAGAAATGTCGGTGATTCGCTCTGAAGACTGTTTGGGGAGAAGTGACATGTAACCGTCGACAGAAAATTTCGCAACGCAAAAACGCCATTTACAATTAGACTCGGCATTAGGGTCGTAATTCAAGGAGACTCACCATTAAACGCCATGTCCGAAGAAAATAAGAAATACTTCTGCAAAATGATCAACACATAGCAGCTTCAGGTCATTTCTAGTATGATATTCAACATAAAAAAACATAAATTAAATAATTATATTGAATTTTCAGGATATATAATATGTAATGAGAATGGAAAATTATTCATACCTTCAAACATGAAGCTACTACTAGAGGTGGAACGAAACGTCTAATAGCAGTACAGTCTTCTTTTGACGAATCAATGCTTTGGCATCAGGGTATCGCTGCAACACAGCCTCCAGGAAAATGTCATTTCCTCAGCGGACCGCAATCTCCGAAACCGTATGTCTTTTCTGGTAGGGAACTCTCCTACCGTGGGAGATTTCCGTTTCGAAACTAGGGTAGCGCCACGCAATCCTGCAATTTACTGGGTGGTCAGATGGTTACCCTCAAAAGCTACAAGACAGGATTTAGCTCAGAGGGAGCATGAAAACGACCAGGAACCCCCGAACCGAGAGGGCCGATTGCACTCTTCTTTAGCTGATACGGAATACCCGACGGTGTGAACCAATGGACAGGAATCGTCAGTGCCAGAGATCAGCTCTCTAAGGATTGCTGAGAGCTTCGTTTAGATTAGCACGGGTGGAGTAGAAGTACTGACACTCAAAATGGTGAGTGTTAAAAAACGGTAAATCGCACACCCTCAATACTTTCTAGCGCCTCGAGATTGGTTTCGCATCTCTTTGTCATTGGTCGGCGCGGTTGCTGCCATTGCCAATGTGTCCCGCTTGTCCCATGCCCCCCCTTGAGATTCCTTACCGTGCTGGACTCCCCTTCCCTCCCGTACGCACCATATCCCTCCCCTCCTCCCCCTGCTCTTCTAACTACGGCTCCTCCAGACAAGTTCTGATTTTCAAGAAACTGTTTTTGGCTTGCTTGGGATTTCCCAGCTGACGTCCCGTCAAACACGTTTACTTCTCAACATAAACCTCGCAATATTTATTGTCTGCCATAGCCGTTGTTTAATCATAGCGTGCGGCTGCATCCGCTTTTCAGCTTTGACAGTCCACGAGATCCGTCCACTGCTGACGGCGTTCCTTCCGAAGCAGAGTCTGCTCTGAGGGCGCACTTTGACAACTGACCGAACGACGAGCCTTTGTTTTAGGAACTCGGGCTCGGCGCAAATGACGGCTGCGCCATCTTTACACGGTTTTAGGATGAACCGACGGCTTTCAACAATAATTTTGCTTGCAGCCGCCGTTTCTATCGCTGCGCAAATACAGACAGTTTCATCACAAGGTACTACTAGCTATCGTTTTTCGCTACTCGGTAAAGCTTATTGTTTCTCGCTCGTTCAAGTATCTCAGAGGCAGAAGCCTTCCCGAGTTTGTAACTTCGAACGTAAGAAATGTCACATGCCGGTCAGAATATTTTTGAGTCGATTAAGAATTGTTTGTCAGTTCGTGCGTAAAAAAGGATCGCATGCCGGTCGAATTCTGTGTTGGAAAAATCGCATGATAGCGTTGAACTCGGGGTGTGCGATGAACACGTCGAGCTACAAGTGTCAGACGAAACTCTGGTTGAAGTGTTAAGCTCGCGCCGCGCGATTCCGGGTTTCTTCAGTATGGTTCCTCCTATTTTTCAAAATATCATATGGTATGCTTAGAAAGTTCCGATCCCGTATTTCTTCCAATCCTCGTTCCTCCGGCTTTTCCGAAGAAGCTTTTCCGTAATTAGTGTAACTCATCTTCTCGTATCCTTTACTATAAAGCCCCGTTGAGGCACTTCCAACCCGGATCTTTGAATCGACTAAAAACAACTATTGGTGCTAGTAATAGCTTCCTCTGTTCCCATTGCTTCCCCCGCAGCGTACAACCCTTGTACGGATAGCCCGTGTGGCATCGGCGGCACGTGTAGCTGGGACACTCAGTACACGTGGACGTGCTCGTGCTATAGCGGGTACGCGGCCTTAACCACTTCATTCGACTTGTCCGGCATAACCGTCTCCGGGCAGACGTGTGTTTGTAAGTCCGTGTACCTGGGACAGTGATTGTACTGAAACGAGCTTGTGCAATAGCGGGTACACCATCTCGTTCCACTTGGCCGACGTAACTGTCTCGGGCAAACGTGTGTGTAAGTCGTGTATCTAGGAAAGTGGCTGTACTGAGTCAAGATCGTGCTAGTGCTGTATCGCGTACGACCATTCATATAGCTGTGAGATGAGAAAAAGCACATATTTTGTTTCGCTCGCCTTTTCACGCTCTTACTAAGTCTCACCCCCCTGCTTTCCATCCTCTGTCCCCAGCCGCTTCCCCCATCCACGATTCATTGAACCACTCATCCTGTCCTCTCTCCACTCTTCTCCTCCTCCCCCTCTCTTCTCTTTCACCCCCTCATGCCCTCTCTGCTCTTCACCCGATGCCCTTCCTCCTCACTTCCCTCCCTTGTCTCACCCTTTCTCCTCTGTCTCCTGTCTCCCTCATCCCCGTCCCTCCCTCCCCCACCCTCCTCTCCCCCTCACCTCCATTTCCCCCTCCTTCCCCCAGCTTCAAGCTCCTCCCCTTCTTACTCCTCCCCATCCTACTACTCCTCCCCATCCTACTCCTCCCCCTCCCCTCCTTCCACCAACTCCTCCTCCTCCCCTTCCTCCTCCTCGGGTCTGTCCACAGGAGCAGTCATAGGCATAGTGGTGGGCGTGATTCTGCTGCTGCTACTGCTCGGGGGAGTCGGTCTCTTCCTCTGGTTCAGGCACAAGAGCAAGGCCAGTGGGGCTGATAAGCCTGGCCAGGCGTACGGGGGAACTGCGGCAGTAGGGGCTGATCTAGAGGCGAATAAGGGGTATGCTAACCCGTATTATGCGGGCGGGGGGGGCGGAGGCGGAGGGGGAGGCCTTGGGGGAAGTGGAGGCGGGAGCGGGGGGTGGGGAGGTGGGGGAGGGGGGAGCGGGGGGAATGGCATGGCGGCTCCTGTGGCAGGGGGATACGGGGGATCGGGAGGGGCAGGAGGGGGAGGAGCAGCAGCATATGGGGTGGCAGCAGCAGGAGCAGCGGGAGCGTATGGGGCGGCAGGGGGGGGATATGCAGCAGCAGCAGGGCCTCAGGCGGGGATGGGATCTGGGTCTGGGTCTGGGAACGTCATTCACCCCATGTACATGGGAAGTGAGTATGCTTCATCCCTCTGTGCGCCATGCATCATGACCCATGCCCCATACGCTGGGAACTATGCCCCATGCCCCATGAACCATGACCCATGGCCCATACGCTGGGAACTATGCCCCATGCCCCATGAACCATGTCCCATGCCCCATCTATGACCTATGACCCAGGATCCACGACGCACATCCCCACTGTTCTCCCTTCCCGTCTCCATGCTACTATCTAAGTCTCAAACCATGACTTTTGTTCAGTTTACTCAAGGTGACTTTTGAGTCGACTCAAAAGTCTTCCCACAGTTCGCCCTTCCCCTCTCCATGGTACTATCTAATGTCATGGGGAGCATCACCATGAGTTTGTTAACTTTGCTCAAGCGAGCTCTTTTCCGGCGCCTCAAAAGTAGTCCCTTCTCCTCTCCATGCTACCATCTAATGTCTAGAACCATGACTTTGTTTAGTTTCCTTTCCCTTCACTAATTCTCCACCTCCTCCACTTCATAACTCCTCATATTCGTCCATCCAGGTGGCATGTACCAGCAGCAGCAGCCACATCAGCATGCCAACCTGGCACAGCAGCAGCAGCAGCAAGCAGCAGCCTTCCAATCACCTCCGTCCGTCTGTCAGCAATTCGCCCTTGCTGACCTGGCGCGGGCCACGGGTGACTGGGCAGAGAGCAACCGGATTGGCAGCGGGAGCTTTGGTGACGTGTATAAGGCTGTCAGTCCCTTCGATCCCTCTGTGCTGTGGGCCGTGAAGCGAGCGCGCGTGCTGACAAAGGACTTTCAGCGAGAGGTGAGCAGCACAGTGGCTAGGGTGAGCACACTGTACCCAGCAGCACCGTACTGCACCCACTCCGAGACGTCTCAACACATGCCTGTACAGGGCTGTCAGTCCCTTCGATCCCTCTGTGCTGTGGGCCGTGAAGCGAGCTCGTGTGCTGACAAAGGACTTCCAACGAGAGGTGAGTGCTCTGCACCCAGAAAACACCACACCCAGCAGCACCGCATATGCACCCGCAGCACCGCACCGTACCCAGCTTCGAGTCATCTCAACACGTGAGGTGTACAGGGCTGTCAGTCCCTACGAGCTTTCTGTGCCGGGGGCCGTGAAGCGAGCTCACATTCTTGCTAAGGAATTTCAAAAGGAGGTGTGCTGCGTGCACTGCACCCAGCAGCACCGCACAGGACCTGGATCCGTGCGTGGGGGAGGGATTGCACCATTTGCTGCAACCCGGTGCCCCCACTTTCACGCCTGCGAATCCCTGTCCCATCCTCCCCATTCCAGTTGACTTTTGAGTCGACTCAAAAGTCAACTTCACGCCTGCGAATCCCTGTCCCATCCTCCCCATTCCAGGTGGCAGCGATGGCAACCAAGCACCATCCCAACCTGGTGCGTCTTCTCGGCTACTGCATCCTCATGAACCCAGCAGCACCGCACTGCACCCCTACTCCTTTTCCTCCCCTTCCTCCCTCTTTTTTTACTCCAGGTGGCAGCCATGGCGACAAAGCACCACCCCAACCTGGTGCGGCTACTCGGCTACTGCATCGATATGCACCCAGCAGCACCGCACTCCACCCAGGGCGAACTGAGCATGGAGCAGATAGTGGTGTACGAGTTCATGGCCAACGGGGACTTGGAGCGGTGGGTGGGGGAGGGGGCGGCACAGCCGCTGGCGGTGGCGCAGCGCATGGCGGTGCTCATCGGGGCGGCCCACGGGATTGAGTATCTGCACAGCTTTGGCATCGTGCACCGCGACATCAAGCCCGCCAACATCCTGCTCGATCACAAGCTCGAGGTGAGCTTGTACCCCGGACTTGCGCGGTCTTCCTTGGTATTCAGCTCCTCTTCTGGGTTGTGCCTTCCCCTGTGAGCACCTCCCCCGCATCGTGCACCGCGACATCAAGCCCGCCAACATCCTCCTAGATGACAAGCTCGAGGTGAGCAAGCTAGCGCCTTTCCTAAGGGCTACGCCCTGCCCCCTTGCACAACGGTGGGGGACACTCACATCATGGGCACACCCTTGCTCTACCTTCTCTCTCTCATGCGCCTCACACTCCCTTGCCTTGCATGTTATCCCCATGCTCACCTCCCAATGCCTTACACCCCCTTGCCTCCAGGCCAAGGAAGCGAACTTTGGGCTGCTGAGGCAGAACGAGGGCACGGTGGTGGGGGACGCTCGTGCCATGGGCACACACACACACACACACACACCCTTTCTCCTCCTCTTTTCCCTCATTCGCCCCACATTCCCTTGCCCTGGATGCAATCCCACCCTCACCTCCCACCCTTAATCCCACCAGGCCAAGGTAGCCGATTTGGAGTGACGAGGCAGAGCGAGGGGACAGCAGTGGGAGACCCTCGCTGCATGGGCACACGCACCGTTGCTCCACTTTCCCTTCCTCATTCGCCCCACATCCCCTTGCCCTGCATGTTATCCCCACGCCCACCTCCCAATGCTCTCAGGCCAAGGTGGCAGACTTTGGGCTGCTGAGGCAGAACGAGGGCACGACGGTGGGAGACACTCGCATCATGGGGACACCGGGCTATGTGGACCCCGCTTACTTCAAATCCAACAAGGCCACTCCCATGGCCGATGTGTACAGGTACAGAGCGGTGCAGTGTGGTACACCGGTGCATTTGAGCGGTACAGAGCAGTGCAAACTGGTGTTGCCCTGGAAGAGAGTACATGAAAGTGGCGGGCACACCGGGCTGTGTCGACTCCGCATACTTCAAGTCCAATAAGGCCAGCTCCATGGCCAATGTGTACAGGTACAGAGCGGTGCAGTGTGTTACAGAGTGTTCTTATCCTGTGAGGAAGAGTGCAATGGATAGGCATACCGGGCTATGTGGAAACCCGCTTATTTCAACTCCAACAAGGCCACTCCCATGGCCGATTTCTACAGGTACAGAGCGGTGGAGTGCGGTACAGCTTCATATTGAGCAGTGCAATATGGTGCAAACCGGTATTGTGTTGAGACGATTTTTGAGGCGCCTCAAAAATATGGTGCAAACCAGTATTGTGTTGCAAGGGATTGCTTGGGAGGGAGTGATGGGCACACGGTTCTACCTGGAACAGTGAGGTACAGACCAGTGCTAACCGTTACAGAGTGGTGGAGAGAGTTACAGAATGATATGAAGCAGTATTGAGCGAGCGGCACCTCTCAGCTTTGGCATCCTCATCTGCAAGGCAGTCAATGGGTAAGTTGTTTTAGTCGACTAAACTACCGCTCTCCACTCCTTTCCGTACCTTCCCACCCTGTTCACTTCTCTTCCCCTTTCATGCCTCCCCATCCCCCAGCTTTGGCATCCTCATTCTGACCACAATGTCCGGCCACAATGCACTGAAAGCGGATGAGAACGGCAACAATTTCAACGCCAGGAAATGGGTGAGTTCACGAGCAACGCGGGGAAAGAAGTGATCTGGCTATTTCAACAAGGGGAGGGGGGAGGTTGAAGATTTTCTGAGGCACATATGGAGGAGGAGTTTTGGAGTAAAGTAGATACACTGGGGTGATTAACTCGCCTGTGTGATTAACTCGCCTGTGTGATTAACTTGCCTGTGTGACTAACTCGCCTGTGTGGTTTCAACCTCCATGCCAAGCAGGCAGGCACCATTCCATTCAACCTCTCATCCTCCCCGCTCTTTCCCTTCACTCCCCCACTCCCTCTTGTGAACCCTTCCCATCAGGCGGAGTCGTTAGTTGCGGCCGGCAAAGCGGAGGAATTAAAAGACCCCCGATTGGACGCCCCGGCAGATTTGATTCTGCGGCTGGCGCAGCTGGCGCTGCGCTGCACGGCCATGCCCACCGTGTCTCGTCCTGACATGATCCAGGTGGTATCTGAGCTCACGGCTCTCAGGAAGGAGTTTCTGGGGAAGGTGTCATCTAGGATGGCTGAGAGGATTGATGAGGAGGTGGAGTCCCAGAGAGTTGGGAACTTCAGTGCGGAAATAGCGATGATTGAAAGGCTGGCGTTTCAGGGTAGCACCAGTGCAATGAGCATTCGCTGAAGGGGTTGGAATGGATGCAGTTTTTCAACGGTTTTGTGCTCTGCTCTGGTCAATAATTAAATGTAAGGTTTCCATTCAAACTCTCAGCATGCGTTATTTCAAATGTTGGTGTTATTGGATCAGGAAAGGAGTTGTCTAGAAATCGTAGAATCTTTCGAACTGATACACTACGATACATCGGACGGTAATGAGGCTATCAATCGCAAGACCGCCTCACTACCCTGGAGGTCTTGTAATTGGAGTGATATCAGGAAAGTCAACGCGGGTCAAATGAGAGATTTTTCTGCTGGACAACACCTCCTCCCTCCCCCACACCATCCCACCACCCTCCCTCGCTTTCCACTTCACTTCTGCCACCCCGTCCCTTCCCCTGCCATGCTCCCATGCATGTCTAATTTTCAAGAAGCTGTTTCTGGCTTGCTTTGGGCATTCTAGTTGACGTACCTTCAAACACATGTGACCCTCAACACAAACTTTGCGATTCACTATATTTATCGTTCACTAAAGCGCTGATCTACATAATCGCCGCGTCCATTTGCGTCCGCTTTTCAGCTCTGACTCAGAAAGTCGACATAATCCCGTGCGGCACGCTTTTTGTTTGAGCTAATGACTTGGCGCGCCTTCACGACAGCGACTGACCAAACGACGCTCCAAGAACTCGGCTTTGGCGCAATGGCGGATGCGGGAACCATACACAGCCTTAGGGCGAGCCGACGCCTATTAACAATCGTTTTGTATGCAACCGCCATTTTCACCGCCGCGCAAATTACGGCTGTTTCGTCACAAGGTACGACTTGCTACCATTTTCCAGACTTCGCGTTTTTTATTCTATTATCCATAGCTTATCACATGTTTTCTCGCACGTTCAACTTTCTCAGAGGCTAGGAGCTTTTCCGAGTTAGTCAGTTCGAGCATAAAATATAGCTCACATCCGGTCAATGGCTGTTTTTAAAGAATCGCAGAAAACGCCGCCAATTTCGGGATCTCAGATGAAAGCGTTTGAGCTCGAAGAATCAGCCTTGATGAAACTTTATTGAAGCGTTCAGCGGGCGCTGCGATTTCGAGATTCTTCAGTATACTTCCTCCTACTTTCAACTATCATAGTAAGCTCCAGGAATTTCCTATCATAATGCACGCAGTTGTAAAGTGCTATAACGTAACGAATATTTATCAGCTCCCTTCCGGAAAAGTGCTGCTGGATATGCATGAAGTGGTAATACGCCTCTCATGTTGAGGCGCCCCAAAAATAGTTATAATACGCCTCTCATGTTGCTGCTATATCGCGGACGACCACTCACAGCCGCTGTGAGGTGGTAGAAAGTCCAATTTCTGTTCTGGCTTCCGAATACAGCGTCTCACTCCGTCCCACCTCGCCCGCTTTTCATCCATTCAACCATTCTTTTTCCGTTCGAGTCAATGCACCTCTCATTCTGTCCTCTCCCCCCTCTTCTCCCCTCCACGCTCCCCTCTCCTGTCATCCCCTCATGCACTACATGATCTACAATCAACGTCCTTCCTCCTCGGAACGCTCCCTTTCGAGGCGCCTCAAAAGCCTCACTACATGCTTTACAACCAATGTCCTTCCTCCTTACAACGCTCCCGCTGCTCACCCTGTTTCCGTCCTCCCCTGCCCTCTGCCTCCCCACATGTATCCCCCCTTCCCCCCCTTTTCCCCAGCTTCAAGCTCCTCCCCATCCCACTCCCCATCCTACTACCCATCCTACTCCCCATCCTACTCCTCTCCATCCTACTCCCCCTCTTACTCCACCCCATCCTACTCTCCCTCTTACTCCACCCCATCCTACTCCCCCTCTTACTCCACTCCATCCTACTCCACCCCATCCTACTCCACCCCAACCTACTCCCCCTCTTACTCCTCTCCATCCTACTCCCCCTCTTACTCCACCCCATCCCACTACTCCTCCCCACCCCCTCCGTCCTCCTCCAATGCCTACCCCTCCTCCTCCTCTAACGGCCTCCCAACGGGAGCAATGATAGGAATCGTGGTGGGGGTGCTGCTGCTGCTGCTAGTCCTGGTGGTCGGTCATTTCCTCTGGTTCATGCATAAGAAGAAGGCCAGTGGGGCTGATAACGCTGGCCAGGCGTATACTGGAGCTGCGGCAGCAGCAGCAGCAGCAGCAGCAGGGGCTGATTCAGAGGCCAATAAGGGGTATGCAAACCCGTATTATGCGGGTGGGGGGGGCGGAGACGGAGGGGGAGGCGTTGGGGGGAGTGGAGGGGGGGGGGGGGGGGGGAAGGCATGGCGGCCCCTGGGGCAGGGGGATACGGGGGATCAGGAGGGGCAGGAGGGGCAGGTGGGGCAGGGGTGGCAGCGTATGGGGCAGCAGGAGCAGCAGAATATGGGGCAGCAGCAGCAGCAGCAGCAGCAGCAGCAGCAGGGGCGCCGTACGGGGCGGCAGCAGGCGGGCCATATGGGGCGGCAGCAGGGGCGCCATATGGGGCGGCAGCAGGGGCACCGTACGGGGCAGCAGCAGGGGGAGCGTATGGAACGGCAGCAGGGGGGGCGTATGGGGCGGCAGCAGGGCCGCCGTATGGGGCGGCAGCAGGGGGGGGATATGCGGCAGCAGCAGGGCCTCAACGGGGGATGGGGTCTGGGTCTGGATCCGGGAACGTCATTCACCCCATGTACATGGGAAGTGAGTATGCTTGATTCGTGTGTGGCATGACCCATGTGACATGACTTATGACCCATGAACGTCATCACCCCATGTACATGGGAAGTGAGTATGCTTGATTCGTGTGTGGCATGACCCATGTGACATGACTTATGACCGATGAACGTCATCAACCCATGTACATGGGAAGTGAGTATGCTTGATTCGTGTGTGGCATGACCCATGTGACATGACTTATGACCCATGAACGTCATCACCCCATGTACATGGGAAGTGAGTATGCTTGATTCGTGTGTGGCATGACCCATGTGACATGACTTATGACCCATGAACGTCATCACCCCATGTACATGGGAAGTGAGTATGCTTGATTCGTGTGTGGCATGACCCATGTGACATGACTTATAACCGATGAACGTCATCAACCCATGTACATGGGAAGTGAGTATGCTTGATTCGTGTGTGGCATGACCCATGTGACATGACGTGAGTATGCTTGATTCGTGTGTGGCATGACCCATGTGACATGACTTATGACCCATGAACGTCATCACCCCATGTACATGGGAAGTGAGTATGCTTGATTCGTGTGTGGCATGACCCATGTGACATGACTTATGACCCATGAACGTCATCACCCCATGTACATGGGAAGTGAGTATGCTTGATTCGTGTGTGGCATGACCCATGTGACATGACTTATGACCCATGAACGTCATCACCCCATGTACATGGGAAGTGAGTATGCTTGATTCGTGTGTGGCATGACCCATGTGACATGACTTATGACCCATGAACGTCATCACCCCATGTACATGGGAAGTGAGTATGCTTGATTCGTGTGTGGCATGACCCATGTGACATGACTTATGACCCATGAACGTCATCACCCCATGTACATGGGAAGTGAGTATGCTTGATTCGTGTGTGGCATGACCCATGTGACATGACTTATGACCCATGAACGTCATCACCCCATGTACATGGGAAGTGAGTATGCTTGATTCGTGTGTGGCATGACCCATGTGACATGACTTATGACCCATGAACGTCATCACCCCATGTACATGGGAAGTGAGTATGCTTGATTCGTGTGTGGCATGACCCATGTGACATGACTTATGACCCATGAACGTCATCACCCCATGTACATGGGAAGTGAGTATGCTTGATTCGTGTGTGGCATGACCCATGTGACATGACTTATGACCCATGAACGTCATCACCCCATGTACATGGGAAGTGAGTATGCTTGACCCCTCTGTGACATGGATGATGCAAGACGGTTTTCACGCGCCTCAAAAAGCGTCATTCACCCCATGCACATGACCTCAAGCCCCGTGACCCCATGCCCCGTGACCCCATGCCCCGTGACCCCATGCCCCGTGACCCCATGCCCCGTGACCCCATGCCCCGTGACCCCATGCCCCGTGACCCCATGCCCCGTGACCCCATGCCCCGTGACCCCATGCCCCGTGACCCCATGCCCCGTGACCCCATGCCCCGTGACCCCATGCCCCGTGACCCCATGCCCCGTGACCCCATGCCCCGTGACCCCATGCCCCGTGACCCCATGCCCCGTGACCCCATGCCCCGTGACCCCATGCCCCATGACTCATGCCCCATCGCCCATGGCCCATGCCCCATGACCCATGCCTCATGACCCATGACCCATGCCTCATGACCCATGGCCCATAACCCTTGACCCACGTCCCATGTCCCACGAAATTTGACCCATGAA